CCCCTCGCAGGCATTACACTTGACTGAGGTGGAGCTGTGGTGTAATCGTCTCCGGCATACACAGCAGGTGTAGGTTTCTGGCCCTGGGTTTGACTCGATGCCAGCCCTGAGTAGGAGAATACGTAGTGAATGTAGCCCTATGGACGGACAACTTCTGAGATACTTCGCCGACCTAAACGGGGTTAGATCGCCGAAACAACAGCCCTTGGTCGGGTAAAACCCGAGTCATTCCGGTACGTAGAACGTAGAAAACGGAATAAGAACATGACGAAGCTGTGAAAAGAGTGGTAAATGTTTTTAAAGATAAAAACTTAATGATGAATGAAAAGAAGTGCAATTGGAAGGTACAAAAACTTAAATTTTTGGGTCACCTATTATCCGATGAAGGCATAGCACCTGACCCCGATAAGATAGGAATAATTAAAGATTTCCGAGCTCCGCAGTCAAAAGAGGAGGTGAGAAGTTTCGTCGGACTGGTGACATATGTGGGAAAGTTCATCCCTGACCTCGCTGATACAACAGAGCCTTGAGAAAATTATTAAAGTTAAGCTGCAAATTTTGTTGGGATCAAAGTCAACAAGAATCGTTTGATAAATTAAAACAGGCCCTATCGGATATACCAAACCTTGCATATTTTAACGCTAAAAAAGAACCCGTGTCATAGCAGATGCAAGCCCAGTAGCTTTGGGTGCGGTACTTTTGCAGTTTGATGACCAGAATGAGGCACAGATCATATCGTTAGCGAGTAAGAGCTTGTCAGATATGGAAAAGAGATACTCGCAAACATAGAAAGAGAGTTTAGCACTAGTATGGGCCGTTGAGAGATACTACTATTACTTAATGGGCCTGGAATTTGAATTAGTCACCAACCATAAACCTCTTGAGATGGCTCCTCAGGTTGCAGCCCTACAAGTTCAAAGTCATATACCGAGCAGGGAAAGAAAATATAGCTGATTCGGTGTCTAGACTTTGTAAAATCAAACGGACAAACTCATTCGATAATGATCATAATCATTCTATCTTCCATATTGTTGAAAACGCGACACCTTCAGCTATGGGAATTAGCGAAATTTCCACAGAGAGCGCAAAGGACCAGGAATTAATAGATACAATAACATGTGTTAAAAATGACCTCAGGTCAACAAATAAAGCAAATGCGTACTCTCCGCTCCGGTACGAGTTACCAGCAGTTGGCGACATATTACTGCGAGGAACCCTTGGCAATATGTCCGAAGTCATCATTTCCATTCTACAAGAGGTGTTTAGCAGATTGGGCATACCAAACTCTTTAAGAGCGGATAATGGCAGACAATTTACTAGCTCCGAATTTAAAAGTTTCTGCAAGAATGACAACATTACGCTAATTACGACGCCTCCATATTAGCCACAAGCCAATGGAAAAGTCGAAAATATGAACAAGTCATTAGTAAAGAGGTTGATAATCGCACACAACAATAAAAGAGACTACAAAAAGGATATTGAAAAAGTTTACATTGATGTACAATGTCACCTCCCACGGTACAACTGGATCCTCGCCTACGGAACTCATGTTCAATCGTATCGGGTATACAAGATTTAACAGACATGTTGGATTCAGCCGATCCAGATTATGACATTATTAACAAATGGAAAGAGAAAGAGAAGGCGGGCATGAGGCGAGGGGCAAAAGAAAGCGGCATTGATGTAGGGGACAAGGTATTTTCGCATAAACTCACTCCAACGTTCGATCCGACAGAGTACCTAGTGAAAGAAAGGAATGGGAATGAAGTGATCATAACCTGGAGGAAAGACGTTCAGGAGAAATATCAGCCATATCAAAAGACTACAGCCATCTGGATCAATCGCAGACAATAAAACTAATCCCTCGACTCCAGGGGCATCTCAACAAGGAGGAGTACCACCTATACAGACTTCAGGTGACGTGACTCCAGCAACGGAAGCGTCAATGAGAAATTCTGATGCTAGATACAGGTGACCGTGAGGTCAATGAAAGACTGAAAAATAAGGAAGGGATGTAGAGACCAGCATCCGTTATAGTAGCTACAGTGTGAGAGACGATGATGTTAGAGTAACGAGCAGTTAGTGAGTTGGAGACAGAACGTGAACTTGTAAAGTCGCATTGACATATCACCTAATACAGGGTGTCCCAGAAGTAACGTGCCAAACTTTAGGGCAAGGTAGGTGGGGGGGTGAGCTCACTGATAAACAAAAAATTTTCAGGTAAGTGTCACCGTTTTTGAAATATTTAAATTTTTTCGAATTTAAAAAAAATCGTGCCTTTTCATTTGTTTTCTTTAACTGCAACTACAAACCGGGCAATACTTAGTAAATTTTTTATGTAAAATACTTCCAGATAGTTGCCTCTCCATACTCAAATGC